TTCTCTTTTTCCTGCAGGTTGCTGAAAAGTGCCTTTCCTGAAGCCACCGCTGCTTGGATTTCTGTCTAGGGCTGCCTCTCTCTGCCCCTCGCCCCCCTCTTTTTAATTCGGCGCTGCTTGCGGTTCGTGCCCTGACGGCAACTGCTCCAGCCTTGCCCTTTTTTTTTTTTTTTTTTTTATTTACACGCAGTTTGCTCAGCCATTTTATTTTTTTTTCCTTCCCTGAGTATGTAGCAAATATTTAAAAGAAAGAAAGAAAAAAATTTCAGACGTCCTTTTGCTCGTTTGATGCTCGCGAACCGTAATTTTTAGAAGCAAGAAATAGAAGGAAAAAAAACACCCCGAAGTTTTCTCCCCAAGGACCGAGACCATTCCACAAACTGAAGTGCTGCCAGCAGCATATGCTTTTTGCAAGAATAATTGAAACCATTAACTGGAGAGCACAGAATTCTTTTGAAAGTCTGCCAGTTATTTGCAAGTAACTTCGGCAGTGGCACAAAATATAACACTTATATTTTAACTTCTACAATTGCACTTTTAGGAGCTGGCCTCTAATTTGATTTTCAGTTGTTCTGATAAGATTTCTATTTTATGATTGGCTTTATGTTTAATTCTTGTTTAAACAAACACGATTTGACTTAAATGAAAACCTAAGTGCTGATGAATAGGAGTTCTACCAAAGCAACAAGTTAGTTATTTCTTCGCGTTTAACTTGAATTCACTTTTTTACCCTTTTTTTAAAAAAAAAGAAGAAAAAAAAGATCAGCAGTAAATATTGCCCTGAAGAAGGGCACGATTGCTTGCATTTTCATTTTTGTTTTTTAATATGGCTGTAAACGTTTCCCTGGTTCGTGATACAAAATGGCTGACGTTAGAAGTGTGTCGAGAGTTTCAGAGAGGTACTTGTTCTCGGTCTGATGCAGAGTGCAAGTTCGCCCATCCATCACGGAGTTGCCATGTGGAAAATGGTCGAGTTATTGCCTGCTTTGACTCCCTGAAGGTGAGGACTGTCTAACGCGTGCATTACCTAAGCTCACTTGCTTTTCCTTCTCTTCTGAATGGCTCAGCCTGCTGGGGCGTGGGATGTGCAGCACAACTGTTTACTGCTCTGTTTCTGCGGGGAGGATGCTGCCGGTGCGGGATGTAGCTCCTGAAATCTAGGCTGTCTGACATCAGGTGCAATTGCCTGGAGTGCCAGGCACCACAGGGAGAGAGAGGGTTTTATCCACAGTGTTTTCTGATGGTAGCTCAGGTCTGATATAGCTGTCCTTGAAATGGAGAATGCATGTTGTGGGCAGCAAATGAAACTGAAATGAGAAAAGTGGAGAACTCAAACCCAGTGCTTTAATTTGTGTCCAGAGCACGTCGGCTGTACATTCGGTGCAGGGATCTGAAATGTGCTTTTAATGAGCAGAAATGAAAGCAGCATTTTAAGACAGTGAATCAGCGTTATGTGTATTTCCTGGAGACAGAGTTGCAGATGCATTCTAACGCTGTCCTGTAGATGAGGAACAGCCAAAATATTTGGAGAGCAATGCTCCCAGAAAAATGGGCGTTGGGAAAACGTTTCCTGCGAGGGACATGCAGACACAATGGCTCTGCTAGGCCTGTCCGAGTTATAGCTGTGCCTTTTTGCTAGTGCTCATCTTTGCAGAGTCAGTTTTGCGAGCAGTAAGTGGCTCTTGCTTGCCTGTCACTGTTGAAGCTACGGGGGTGACTTTCGAGATGTACCAAATACCCCGGGGTCTGAGTTGGGGCAGGGGAGTCGGGGGCTCACAGGAGGGAGAGGGTGGGCATCTCTGTTCAGGGTTGCTTCACCATGGTTCTCAGGAAGGGAACATCCACTTTTCTTTTTTCTTTTTCACAAAAGTATGGCTCCTCAAAGGTGTTTTAAGTAGGATGGTAAAAGCCCTGAGACAATCTGGATAAGTGATTGCTTTTGAGGACTCCTGACATTGTGTTTAATGTTTTGATCAGAGTAATTAACCTGTTTGTGTTTCTAGAAGGAATCTGGTAAATTTTACAGGCTTAAAAGTTTTCCCTTGAACTTCAACTGTTGCTTGAGAAGATTGGCGTTTATTTTTATGAACATAATGAGTAACAGAACTGGTGGAATTATGTATGCACAGGTTCAGACCGGGGCTGGATCCAGTCTAACATGGGTTTACACATTCTATTACCATTTGTGGATTCTTTGTATTTTCTCTTGTTCCCTGTTACCAAGAAGCTCAAGCTTCCGATTTGCATTCAGTTTTGCTCTTTTTAATCTAACTATATGCAGTGACCCTTAGTTATATGGTGGCTTTCAAACGTTCATTTACATTGCTGGTTTGCTGACTGCGAGAGACAAAAATATTTTTGTCAGAGGGAAAAAAAGTCATGTTGTTTATGCCCTTGAAACTTTTGAATTGTAGCCAGTGGCAGTGCAGATACTTTGAATTAAGAGATTAATATGTTTACATTTTTTAGCATTTATTTGTGAACTGAAAGGAGCGCTGTCGTGTCGTGCAGGGGAGTACTGTGACCCTGCAGAACTGGCCTGACGTTTGCAGTGTCCTGGGGAAGTGTTTCTCGTGCAGCCACCTAGCTTGGCTCGGCTCGGCTCTGAGCTGTGCCGTAGTCTGGTGTCACCCGGTGCGTGATGCTTCCCCATGTGTGCTGTTCGTGGTGCAGTGTCGGCAGCACAGCTGGGCTCTCAGTGCTGGCCCTTCTCTGCACAGCTGGTGCTGTGAGATGTGCAGGATCAACACTGTGGGCAGCTGGGGTTCAAATCCCACCCACTGGCATGAGCAAACACTTCTCCCACTTCAGCAGTGGGGGATGGGATGGGGAACACCATGTTGAGAAAGAAAAAAGAAAAAAAAAAAGCCAAAGGAGTAGGGTGTGATCTACAGGTCAGTATGTTTCCCATGTAACTGGCTGTTAGTGTTTCCTGTTGACACAGTAGCAGATGCCTAGTATGTGCTAGTTAAGTGGCCTGAATTTTCCAGGGAACAGATTTTCCTGATTTTTCAGGCTTAGAAAGCCTCTTGGAGGGGTGACAGCTCTGCCTTTGAAGAAGTACGCTGGGAGGGGAGTTCAGACTATGGAGAGCACATGGCCAGGGTTTGATGATGGGGCTGTTTTCTGCACCCCACTTCTCAAACAAGAAGTGGGTCTTGAAACCCTCCCTTCCTCCAGCCCCATGGCTCTGGTTGCTCTTGCTGGGCAGAGCCCCAGTTCTGCTATGCCACGGAGGGGTGCAGTCCCCAGTGCTGCAGCCTGTACGTGTGTGTACACTGTGCGTTTCCCAGTGGAGATACCCGCCCTGGTGACTAAACTCTCGAACAATGGACTTTCTGTTCTTAGGCTGGAGCTGGGCTTGCAAAGCCCTGTTTGCAATGGTATTGAGGGGCTCATGGTCAGAACAGTGGCCTCCCTTCCTGGTGACTAAAGAGACGTTACATTTTTGACCTGTTAAGAAGCTTTTCTTGCCCATCCTTTGGACATCTTTATGCACTCAGCTGCTGTTTCCCTCTGACAGCTGTTGAACACTGACCCTCTCTCCTGCAGAGGGCTCGGAGGGCTTGATAGCTGCTTAGTGCTCTTTTCATCTTTTCACGCCCTGCATTAGCAAAACATCTGTGTTGCTTTATTGGAGACAGGATATAGGATGCACGCAGCTAATAAGTTTTCCCGTTGTCTTGCAGTCGCCCAGGGCTTTGTTCAGAGGCTGCTTATCTGCATCCATTGTGTACTGCTGTTCCTCGTTTGTTTTTGTTTTGGGTTTTTTTTTTTTCTCACAGACCTCTTAAGCCTGAACAATGCCTTCATACAGGAACTTCTGATAACCCAGCCTACAATGGTTTCACCTCGCTGGTCAGGTCATGCACAGCATCTGTACACTTACTGCATCTCACTTTTTCTTTTTTTTCTCAATCTCATATAGCAGTTCTGCCTCTGTTGCAGTGGTAAGAGCAGTAATGCTTCCAGAAGCAGTCAGGCTGCCTCAGTGTGGGTTGTTTCACAGGTGAATGTGTGCTACCTGTAAGCTTGTGAAGAGCACACAGGACTCCTGAAGGTAATGGGGGGGCTTCACTGATGCTCGGGTAGGGTTCACCAGGGCATGCTCTGCAGGAGCACTGTGTGGCTGTGCGATGCTTTGATCATGAAATATTGAGTCTTGATTAGGTTGCAAGTGCAGGGATGGATCTTGCTGTCCTGGACTGCGGTCCTTTCAAGGGGGAGTTTGCACATTTGTAGGCAGCAGAAGGAACCTTTCTCAAGCAGATTGATATGAAAATTAAAAATAGTTCCTTGTGCAAAGCTGTTCACAGATTTGAATCGAATGCCAAGAGAACTCTCACTCTCTACTCGCGCTTCCCGCCTCGTTATTTTGGAAGAACAGTGTTATCTCAATTTGTGTGAATGGAAGGGCAAGCTGCACTGCTTGGTGGAGGACAGTTCAGAGGCATGAGAGCCAGCCACTGCTGGGCCACCCCCATTCCAGAAGTGACCATGAGGGCTGCTGGGCAGCAGCTGATGCTCTGCGGTACCTCCCAGGCAGGTCCCATGGCACCCCTGAGATGTTCTGAGCAAAGGAGAGGAGTGTACTGTCATCACTGTAAACCCAGATGGCCTTTGGGTTCATTCATCAGCTTTTCTCTCAGGCTTGGCGTGCACTGTCCTGTGCATAGTTGGTGCTTTTTGCAAGGGTTAGGACATGGTTTGCTGGATCGTGGCAGTTCATACAAAAGCTTGTCGTGGCACTGCCTTGGGCTGTCTGCAAGCGCTCATCAAGTCATTAACCTTCCTATTCAGGCTGGATCAGGCGGGCGTGGTATGAACCTGTCTGATTTTTAATTCCCTGGCCAGCAAATCATTAGTTGTGTTCTTTGGTTTCCAAAGATGTCAGTAAGGAAGGAAAAAAAAAAAAAACAACCCACCTTTGGTCACTAGAAACACTAGTTGAGCTGTAAGCTGAGACTGGTATTAGGAATAGTGATGTATTGTATAAAAATACGCAGGTAATGCACACCAGGTGTTCACAGAGGTTTTAATTTGCACTGCTCACAGTTTGGGTATCTGCACTATGGAGTCATGGTTTCAAAAAAATTACAAGCCTAACTTTCTGGGGTGTGTTGTTGTTTTTTTAAATTTGTTTTATGAAGGTAGATCTTTCCATATGCAAATCAAAGTTTTGAATAGCATTTTGAAAGACAAAATAGTGTGGTGAAAATTTCAGGGGTATGAATTTTGACGTTGTTAAGCTATTGTGTGTTTCAAAGCAGTTCTCTTACATATTAAAAAAAAAGATGAGGTGCCTGTGAACAGGCATAAAATCAAGAGTTAAAAATGCAGTTTTGTCTAAACTGTCTGTTTTCTAAAAGAAGTGTTATTTGTTCGTATTATTCAAAGTCCCATGGCAATCTAAAACGTTCACTGTGCTTGGGCAATAAACGTACCTACTATATGATCTTGAAACTGATGTACCTGAGGCTCTTCCTTATAGTTTTCATGCTAATTTCTACCTAGTTTATGCTGACTTCACCAAAATTATTTCTGACTGTAACTGGTTTGCAATCAAATCTATTTTTTTTAGATTTAAATAAATGTCAAATTAGGAAACAACTAGAAATACTCACTATACTTAGCATATGGTTATGCTCTGACAGAGGAAGAAGCAAGCAAACAAAGCCATGGAGATATTTTTGGAGACACTCTGACTGCTTGTCTCAGCTCAATGTAACATAGATACAAATAAACCAGATCAACAATGTTCACCCGAGTCACCTTTGTGAGAAACCTTTACTTTTCATCGGTCATTAAGGCACTTACCTGCATAGTGACAGTATTTGGTGGTGAGAAGTACAGCTGCAGCAGCTTTCTGTCTTGTCTGGATGCTTGTCTGTCTTACGACACATCATAAGTACTTTTTATAACTACTGAATTGAACATCTAAAAGAGGAAAAAAGTATTTAGACTTGTTTATAAGAACTGTTGCTACTGTATTTCTCTTAA